TCTGGGAAGCTGAATTGTATCTATTTTAAAGGAAGGAACTTGACTTGTAAAATGGATGAACTTAGAACATTGATCAGCACATAGGAATATGTTAATATTGCATTCACTGAGACATGGTTGAAGGACAGACGGGACTGACAGTTCAACATTCCAGAGTATAGCCGTTTCGGGAGCGATGGGGTTGTGGGGGACAGTACATAAGAGAGGTGCGGTCGTTATATTATTGATATATGACACCATCACCACAGTAACGAGGCAGGACATCGTACAAGGGCATGTATGCAAAGCACAGAAAGGTGTGAGAGAAACAGGGTTATAGTTGTCAGGGACTTAAACTTCGCTAACATTAACTGGAATTGCCGTAGTGTGAAAGGATTGTCGGGGGTGGAATTTTTAAAGCATATGCATGAGAGCTTTTTGTGCCAGCAGGTAGATAGTCTGACTAGAAATGGGCAGTGCTAGATCTAGTCCTCAGAAATGAAACCAGTCAAGTGTTTGAAATTTCAGAAGGCATGCATTTTGGGGATAGTGACCATAACTCTAAGTTTCAAAGTCATTGTGGAAATTGCTGAAGATAGTGCCGAAGTTGTGTGTAAATTGGGGGAAGACCAGGCCGAATGGTCTGTCCTCAGTAAAGAGCTCACATTCGTGCCCCTCTACACCCACCTCAATGAGTTCCATGCCCGCTACAGCATGGAACTCTTCTTCCACCACCACTGTTGAATAGGCTGGGGCTATTTTCCCTGAAGTGTCAGAGGCTGGGGGCTGTGACCTTACAAAAGTTTATAAAATTTTGGGTCATGGATAGGCCTTTTCCCTGTGGTTGGGGAGACCAAAACTAGAGGGACATAGGTTTAAGGTGAGAGGGGCAAGATTTAAAAGGGACCTAAGGGGCAACTTTTTCACGCAGAGGGTGGTGCGTGTATGGAATGAACTGCCAGAGGAAGTGGTGGAGGTTGGTACAATTACAACATTTAAAAGGTATCTGGAAGGGTACATGAATAGGAAGGGTTTAGAGGGATATGGGCAAATGCTGTCAAATGGGACTAGATTTATTTAGGATATCTGGTCAGCATGGACGAGTTGGACCAAAGGGTCTGTTTCCGTGCTGAACATCTCTATGACTCTATAACACCTCCATGCCTTCTTCATCAGTAAAGACTCCCAACCACACTCCAGGGATCCCATCTCCCGCCTCCAACCTTCTTCCTCCTCTTGGACACCCCCTGCCAGTCTCTTACCCGCCCTGGACCTCCTCATTGCTAACTACCAACGTGACATTGACCACCTCGATTTCTCCACTCCCCCCTCACCCCTCCAACCTCTCCCCCTCCGAATGTGCAGCACTCCCCTCTGTCCACACCAATCCCCGTTTCACTATCAAACCTACTGACAAAGGTGGGGCAGTGTAGTCTGGAGGAGAGACCTCTATGTCGCAAAGGCCGAACACCAACTCTCTGACACTACTTCCTACATCCCCCTTGACCACCTCCCAACCATGGGCCATCGAGCCACCATCTCCCACACTGTCCAAGCCCTCATCACCTCTGGTGACCTCCCCTCCACCCACCTCCACCCTTATGGTCCCCCATCCCTGCACTGCCTGCTCCCCAAGATCCACAAACCCAACTACTCCAGCTGACCTATTGTCTCCACATGCTCCTGTCCGATCTCGACTCCATTCTCTCCTCCTTGGTCCAGGCACTCCCCACCTACATTCGGGACACAAACCACACCCTCCACCTCTTTGGTAACTTCAAGTTCCCTGGCCCCGAGTGCTTCATCTTTACTATGGATGTTCAATCCCTATACACGTCCATATGCCCCAAAGATGGCCTATAGGGCCTCTGTTTTTCCTCTCCAACAGACACAGCCAGTACCACTCCTCCCCACCCCCCACCAATACCCTCCTCAGCCTCGCCAAACATCCTCAACATTTCCTTCAATTCTTCCCACTTTCTCCCAATCCAGGGGATTACCATGAGCACTCTCATGGGCCCCAGCTACACCTACCTGTTTGTTGGTTACGTTGAACAGTCCCTCTTCAGTACGTACCCCAGTACTGCTCCCCAACCTTTCTGCCACTACATCGATGACTGCATCAGTGCTGCATCCTGCACCCAGGCTGAACTGGAGCAGTTCATCAACTTCGCTAACAACTTCCACCCCACCCTCAGATTCACTTGGTCTATCTCAGACACGTCCCTCCCCTTTCTAGACCTCTCCATTTCTATTTCTGGCAACAGTTTACAGACCAACATTTACTATAAACCCACAGACTCCCACAGCTACCTGGACTACACCACCTCCCACCCTGTATCCTGCAAAAAATCCATCCCGTTTTCATTGTGTCTGCTCTGACTAGGAGACATTCCACTCCCCAGCATCCTGGATGTCTGCCTTTTTCAAACAACACTCTTTTCCCTCCCAGACAGCCCTTCACGCCTCCTTCATTCCCCACTCCACAGCTCTTAACCACTACCTGCCACCACCCCAAACATAATAAAGACAGTGTTCCCCTTGTCCTCACTTTCCACCCCACCAGCCTCCGCATCCAACATATCATTCTCAAACACTTCTGCCAACTCCAATTAGACCCCACAACCTGGAACATCTTCCACACACTACCCCTCTCTGCCTTCCGTAAGGACCATTCCCTTCGCCACTCCTTAGTTTGTGCCACACTCCCCACCAACCACTTCAACCCACCCCGCCCACCACCTTCCCCTCTAACCATAAAAGATACAACACGTGCCCACATACCACCTCCCTCACCTCCATCCAGGGCCCTAAACAGCCCTTCCAGGTAAGACAGATCTTCACCTGCATCTCCTCCAACCCAGTCCAATGCATCCGGGTGCTCCTGATGTGGTCTTCTCTAATCGGTGAGACCAAATGTAGACTGGGTGACCGTTCACAGAGTATCTTCACCTGGCCTGTAATGGCCAACCTAACCTCCCGGTCACTGGCCATTTCAAATTCCACCCGCCCCAATATGTCCATCCTCAGCCTCTTCCAGTGTCACAGTGATTCAGAATGTAAATTTGAAGAACACCTTATCTTCGGCCTGGGCACCCTAGAGCCTGGAAGACTCAACAATGTGTTCTCCAATTTCAAATAACCTTCCCACCCATCCCCCACCTCCTCCCTTCCACTCCACCTTCTAACCCTCCCTTCTAGCTACCAACCAGATCTGTCCCTCCCATTGACCAACCAAGTCATACTCAGCACCAGTATCCACCTATCACCACCATTCTGCCTCCACCCCACCCACCCCCTTTATCTGCAGCTCCCTCTTGCCCTACATCCAGTCCTTAAAAAAGGGGTAATATCCAAAATATTGACTGCTCCTTTCCCCCAGATGCTGCCTGGCCTGCTGTGTTCTTCCAGCCTCCTGTTTGTTTGTTTGTTTAGAACATAGAACAGTACAGGCCCTTCAGCCCACGATGTTGTGCCGACCTATTATCCTACTAGGATCAAACTACCCTGCATACCTTACGTTATACTATCATCCATGTGCCTATCCAAGAGTCGCTTAAATGTCTCTAATGTATCTGACTCCAACTACCACTGCTGGCAGTGCATTCCACTTGCCCACCACTCTCTGTGTAAAGAGTCATAAATAGGTTGATCAAAACACACGATTACCGAAATCAGGTCAGTTCTTTAATTCACTCAGGGATGAGAGTGTCAAGGGCTGGGCTATCATTTATTGCCAATGCCTAGCTGCCCTTCAGAAGACGGTGCTGAGCTGCCTTCTTGAATTGCTGCAGTTCAGTTTGGATAGGTACAAACAATGTCATTAGTGAGGGAGTTCCAGGATCATGATCTAGCAACACTGAAGGAACAGCAATCTACTTTCCATCAAGACACGATGTTAAGTAGCTTGAAGGGAGAAAATTGCAAGTGTTGACGTTCATACACTTGCAATTTTCCCCCTTCAAGCTACTTACAAGCAATTAAACATCTCTTGTGGTTGCATCAAAAAGTGTTTCACCCATCTGGGGCTCTGCTCTCTCCCACAGGTAAGAATAAGCAATTATTTATTTGTAGAAGGTCAATAAGTTTTTCAAACACATTTGGGAACACACCTTAGACAGGGTTGCTTCTAAGCCAGTAATCTCAACACCTGAAGGCCACAATCTATGATGCTGTTGGTTGCCATCTTATCACTCAAAGCTGTTGCATGAACACCGGTTATAACTATATAGTGCATTTCTGTTTTCAACTCCCCCAGTTTTGTCATCTAGTAGGCGTGTACCCCTACCTATGGTTTTGAGTCAGCCTTTTAACAGTTTGCAGTAGATGGCAGTCAGGGATCTACATCCACACTCTTCTCTGCTCTTCAACTTATTTGGTGGCTCATCAAAGGAAAGATACAGTGCTGAAGAACAGAATTCTTCCCATTCCACACATTCCTCCACTGCTAGCACCAAGCACACACGGGTCAGAATGAGATGCAGATCCCTCTATTGTGCAGCAACTTCCAGAAAATCATGCAACGTACCAGAGTAACATCCGATCCATTTTGCTCTCCTATGAATTGTCCTGATTAGTAAAAGATGAAAAGCTCTAACATTCCCTTTTTAGCAATACTAGTCATGTACCAGCAAATGACTATCTGAAGGAAATGTAAACACAGGGTTGTTATGGTAACTGCCATTGTGAACAATGTTCAATGAGTCTTTACTGTTGTACCAGTGACAGCTCCTTGTGAAATTTACCTCATCAATGGATATAGATTAGAATGTGGAAATTATGATGCAAATCTCTTGCAATTCCATCATCAATAGGCACAGCCTTCTGCATCCCTGCCTTGCTCCATCATTAAGAACCTAATAGTGTCACTTACCTATGCGTCAATTAGCTCCCTAACTCCGGTATATTCACTGCGGGCACGTTCCTGTGAAGTGCCATTTTGTATTTGGTAGCTTAAGGTCATACTAGTGTAATTGTTTCATTAAAAATTGTGGACCTGAGCTTAGGAAACAGAAGTCACATTTTGACTGAAATATTTTAATTAAGTTTTGGTCAAAAAGATCATGAAGTAAACTTAATTCACACATAGCAAGAATAAAAAACCCACACACATCCACCCATATTTCAGTTGGGCAATAAGAGTTTTACTATAAAGATTTCTTTTTAAAAATGGAAAACATTCCCTTAAGGAGTCTAAGTATAAGTCAACTGATTTTATCCAGTTTATAATATATAAAAAAATTAATAGAATATCCATCTCACATATCCGATTACTACCTTGAACATGGGAGGGTTACATGATTCTCAGTATTTTCACAGAAATACAAATGGTTCATTATGGGACAGTAAAAATGAAAGCCAGGTTGTCATTTTCAACAACTTTCAAGGGTTGACTTAAGAGTGCTATGTGTTTAGCAAAAAGACTGCCCAAGCAAACAGGAGTCAAAAATGCCATTTGTTTACACTGGAAAATACAGGAAAGGTTTAACAACTCCTTAGCCAACTTCACTTAACAACTTAACATCTTTTGGATCACGGATTAAACAACTTCAAAGGTCAAAACGGTGTTTACAAATAAATTACATGGTCCATTGTACGTTGTAAAAAAATAAGCATTTCTAGGGTCAACTAATAATGCTACACTACAGTAACCATGCTGCGAAGAAATTGAGCCAACGGGTTTCTGTCTTGACTTATGCGTTGCTTGGTTTTGTCTCTTCCACCTTAATTCTAGAGAGTAAAGCATATCGAATTGGTGAGCTGCACAAAGATTCACGTTAGAATTGTGACATTACTATTACACTAGTCCATGTTAACCATGCAATACCTTAGACCAATCATATTCTTTGGAGGGGGTGTCAAAATGTTACCCCATTAATCACCCAATCTAGGAATCTTACTCAAATCCACCTAAGTGCTGAGGCCCATTGCTGGCTTGCTTCGTCCAGCATTATGCATTCCACACACACCATGCAATTCTAGCCCAGTTTTCTCCTGCTGTAAAGGAGATGCAAATATTTAAGCTGTTACCTAATCTAACATGTACAGTAACTAATTCCCAGGAGCATATAACTGCCAGCTATCTGCTTAACCATGAAGGTAGGAGAATAAACACTCATCAGTCAAATGCTATAGAAATAAACAATTGGGCCAAGTATAATTATAACGTTCTTGATAAGTTTTGGCTCATTTTATGCACCGATACTCTTAAGTTTGGAAATGTATAGCAATTCTTGACTGTAGAATATACTGTAATTTATGGAAATTACTCTACTTGACACCTCCAAAAGATTGAGCCCATAACTGATCATGTTCCATTAACCAAATTGGTCCAAAATAAGCATACAATCAACTCCAACCACCCAAACTCCCCAACTCCCAGAGTCCTAGATCCATATTACTACCACTTCCTGACACAGAAACAAACCAATTTTACCCCTTACACAAATACAATTTTCCTGACAATCAGGAAGTTTGAAATCCAGAGCATCGATTACAGAAATGGATTACAAGATATACAGAACAGGTGAAGCACAAGCATGTCAGAGAAGGGTGCAGAAAACGGAAGAAAAACAGTGCATACAAGAGTGAAGGAGGTCCAGAAAGTGAGAGAGAGCACAAGCGAGCAATGGACGTAGATGATGCATTCTTACGAGTGAAACACAAAGCCAATAATGCAGGCAAGTACCTGAGAGAGAGGCAGGCAGAACAAACAGACAGATAACAGCAATTATCTACCAATTGCCTGAGAACACATGCAAAGGGTACAGAAGGTTCATGTCCACCACACAGAAAGCAGGAAAAAGGTGTGCAGGGGTAAAAGATTAAAGAACACAAGGTGGTACAGGAAATATGATTAATCGAAAAACATATGATTTAGAGAGGCAGGCAGAAGACAATACGCAGATCAAAATAAAACAAGCCAAAGAGGGAAATGGGGATACAATACTGAGAATTGCTTTTAATTTTTCTGCTTGAAAAAAACTGTAATATTGTACACAGGTAAAAATCATACCCTTTAGTTTCTAACTTCTCTGGAACACCATCTTTGGCCTTTTCTTCCTCTTTCCCATCTGGAAAACAGAAACGTTTCTTAATCACTTAAATACTGAAATTAAGCTGTCGAACTGGCAGCAACTACGTATTTGCGGTAATTTAGGAACACGTACGCACACAGTTCCAAACACAATACCATGCAAAATACATGTGATGTTGTGGCTAACAAATACTGTGTACAAGTGGGGAAGGACATGTGATTTTCAAATGGATTCATTGGTAGGGCGAGGGGATGCTAGGAGAGGCAGGAGAAAAGATTCCCCCCAGTGAGGTGGACAACTGACCCAGAAGCCAGAAGATACTGGAGGAGACAGACCCACCATCCCATTGTTAACCATAAATGTTAAAGATTGTATTTTCTTGTTTAGTTTGATACTTAGTTGGTCAGGTCTGAACATACGACAGGTATATAAGGAACAGCAAATAATGACTAAAACATTAAATATAGAGCGAGAGAAAACAAGAAAATCAAAAGCAGACAGTAAGAGTTTCTACAAATATTTCATGAGGTAACAAAGTGAGCATTGGCCCTTTAGAATGAGAGACTGGAGAATAAATAATGGAAAATTAGAAAATGGCAGATGAATTGAACAATTATTTTACATCACACTTCACTTATTTTCCTCTGTTTATTTAACCACTTTTTTTAGTACAATGTCTATGTTCAACCTAGGCTTCATGTTTTTCGTAAGCCTTATTTACAGTTCTAGTATCATGCAATACCGTGACTCCACACTAAATGATTAAACAAATCTTCCAAATTTCCCATCATCAGATCCCACTCGTCAAGGTTGATGGAGTATTTGTTGGAAAGAAAGATTTGAAATCCATCACCTTTTGGTATCTACAACATGTTTTCCCTCCAAGGGTTAGGCTCAAATACCTGCTTCAACAGGTTCTGTATGCAAGGATTGACTGATACCTCTCCAGGCAGCCTGTTACAGCCAGGCTCAGACAGAAATCAGTGTTTCAGCTGAAACTAAAGTTACAAAACATTATACAAATTCATTCCCCTGCCACCTCGATATATGTATTTAATATGCTTCATGCTTTATCCATCACCAGTGTATGAGGTACATCTCCAGTGACTCCTAATTTTGAATATTAAATGTTTTAATATAGCATCTTCACAATTTGGTAAACTTTGCTGTGTAAAACATGCAATCAAACCATTCACATCTCTTCTCTCACTTATTGGTATGATCAAATACCAACATTCTTTAGGCACGTTATAGGCTTCTCCTCCATAAAAAGAGCAGTTCTATATAAGAGAATCAATCCAATCAATGTAACTGGGTCAAGTCCTTAGTTCCAACACTGTGCTACCCACTGAATCTGATAAATCAAAGTTGATACAAAAATCTGTGGAGTTTTTGAACTTTGGAAACTTTACACTCTCCTTCAGCACAATCAGACAACTGTCACTAACCTGCTTTTTTCTCCTCTCCCTCTTTCTCTTCTTCCACTTTGGCACGCTTTAGTTTCTTGTAATTTGCAGTGTTTCGTCGCCCTCCTTCCCCTTCATCTTCAGAATCCGAGAACTCTTCATCACAAGCTATTCTTTTGTCTGAAGCACGGACTGTCAAGAAAGAAAGATGCTTAAAAAAAAACTACTTTGATTAATTTGCGGTGACTTGCTTTTGAATCTATAACAAAACATGGAGACTATCCAAAGATTCCACTGTTAACTTGATCCTGAATTCAGGTACTGTGTGATTGCTTAAAGCTATATATACTGGCTGAACAATACCTGAAATTATTTATGCTGCTTACCCAAAAATCCTTTGAAAGGAAACAGAACATAACAATTTGCTAAATTTCCCTCCTCCCATTTTTTTTCCTACCAATACTCAAAATGCTTCGAGATATTTACAAGACCAGCCATGCTTATATCCATTTAACTCTTCCTCTACGTCCAGAATACTGTCAGAATTGTGCTTTCCTTTTACAAAAGAAAAATTCTATACAATTACAATTCTGACTCCAGGCTTCTTCCCTTCAACATTTTCAGATGGTAGTGGTTTTCATGGGCAACTGAATTTTCTTCTTTTTCACTAGATACTTAACAGTTCCATTAGAGAACAGAGTAGAACAGTGAACAGCTAAAATCCTGATCTCTCCCACCAAGTCCAATTATCTTAAAGACAAATTAAGTATTGCTACCACCACAGCTGCTGAAATGCACTAATTTAACACAAATCAAAGAAATAATATTGAACCCATCTGATGAATATGATTTTAACATAGAAACATAAAAGATAGGAGCAGGAGGCGGCTATTCGGCCCTTCAAGCCTGCTCCGCCATTCTTCATGATCATGGCTGATTGTCCAAACTCAATAGCCTAATCCTGCTTTCTCCCCATAACCTTTGATCCCATTTGCCCTAAGTGTTAATACATTCAATGTTTTGGCTTCAACTACTTCCTGTGGTAATGAATTCCAAGGTTCACCACTCTATGGCTGAAGAAATGTCTTCTCATCTCCGTCCTAAATGGTCTACTCCGAATCCTCAGACTGTGACCCCCTGGTTCTGGACACACCCACCATTGGAAACATCCTCCCTGCATCTACCCTGTCTAGTCTTGTTAGAATTTTACAAGTCCGTGAGATCCTCCCACCACCCCGCCCCTCCACCCCCCATTCGTCTGAACTTCAGCAAAAACAATTCCAACCTAGCCAATCTCTCCTGATTCGTCAGTTTCGCCAACCCCGGAATCAAGAGCAAGGGCATCCTTCCTCAGAAAAGGAGACCAAAACTGCAATATTCCAGGTGTGGTCTCACCAAGGCCCTGTATAACTGCAACAACACATCCCTGCTCCTGTACTCGAAACCTCTCGCAATGAAGGCCATCATGCCATCTGCCTTCTTTACTGCCTGCTGCATCTGCATCCTTACCTTCAGTGACTGGTGCACAAGGACATCCAGGTCCCACTGCACACTTCCCTCTCCCAATTTACGACCATTCAGGTAGTAATCTGTCTTCTTGTTTGTGCTTCCAAACTGAATAACCTCACATTTATCCAAATTATACTGCATTTGCCATTGATTTGCCCACTCACCCAACCTGTCCAGATCATGTTGACGGATCTCTGCATCCTTGTCACAGTTCACCCTCTCACCCGACTTGGTATTATTTACAAACTTGGAGATGTTACATGTTGTTCCGTCATCCAAATCATTTATATTGTGAATAGCTGGGGTCCCAGCACCAATCCCTGTGGCACCCAACTAGTTACTGCCTGCCACTTTGAAAAGGACCCATTAATACTTACTGTTTGTTTCCTCTCTGCCAAACAGTTTTCTATCCATCTCAATACACTTACCCAATCCTATGCGCTTTAATCTTGCACAATAATCTCTCGTGCATGACTTTGAAAAGCTGAAACTCTTTTTGTATTACATTGGGACAAATGACACATTGGGAGGATAATACAACAGAACGGCACTCTCAAATTTAGGCAGCATTGTAGACTGTAGATGATCGCAAAAAATTAGAAAGGAATATTGTTAAACGAAGTGAATGGGCAAAAATTCTTCAATATGAAGTTCAACGCAAGCAAGCGTAAGGTTATCCATTTTGGACTGAAAAAGGATTGAGCAGGCTACTTTCTAGATGATATGAAATTAAATACAGTGGATGTCCAAACAGATTTAGGAGTTCAGGCGCAAACATCTTCAAAAGCTACAAACAGATATAGACAATAATTAAGAAAGCTAATGGAATGTTGGCCTTTGTACCTACAGGACTGGAATACAAGAACGCAGTAGTCATGTGGCAGTCATACAAAACACTGAGTAGACCCCACATGGAGTACTGAAAGCAAATCTGTGCACTCTACATTGTGGATATATCAGCATTAGGAGTACAACATAGATATCATTCTTGTAAACCTAGACTTCAGGGGGTTAAGTTATGAGGAGCAACTATATAAACTAGGCCTGCTTTCTCTAGAATTTAGAAGGTTAAAGGGTGGTACATGTTTGCAACACACTTCCACAAATGATAGTCGTTGCTAGATCAATTAGTTTTAAATCAGAGATAGGTAAATTTGTGTTAAGCAACGGTATTAAGGGATATGGGTCAAAGGCAGTTATATGAAGTGAGGCCACAGATAAACCATGATCTTTTCAGACGATGGAATAGACTCGAGGGCTGAATGGCCTACTCCTGTTCCAGTATCCAACAAATAGACTCCAAGTGAATTATACTTGGAGAAAAAAACCGGCCAGTGTTTTTCTTTCAAAAATTATTCATTGATCTCAATATATTCCATTTTTTGAGTATTAAGTGTTGAACACCATAGGTTAAATGTTGGTTGGATAGAGATACTTCTGACACATCGCAAAACTCCAAACCCACTGATTATTTGTTTCTCACCTGTCACAAATAAATGTCACAGCCAATGCTTAAGTAGTTAATTGGTATAGCCTGATTCAGGAAGCAAACTTAGTGTCCCCATTTATTCAGCAGATTTATCCAATGATGTCAGAAACACAGAACTGAAAGGCTTATTCCATAATCAATGCTGAATTATTCGATCACAGTCGCAAATAACTTCATTATCCCAAGAAATGAGAAAAACCCAACAATCCTAGTTGCTTCCAAGACAGTATTGCCGGTCAAGGAAAGGGTTAGGCTCAAACGCAATACCTTCTCCAATAGGTTCTGTACGCAAGCATAAACAGATCTCTCCAGGCAGCCTGTGTTACAACCAGGCTCTGACAGAACTCAGCTGTTTCAGCTAAAACCAGAAGAAAGAAAACATTGCATTATAAATTCTGGATTTGTACAAAGTTTGAAATCAAACACAGAACTCACTTGAAATGCGTTTGTCTGCATCTTCCTCCTCCTCATCCCCACTATCTTCTGGAACCGCATCTTCTGGGATAGCCTGCATCTGAACGCCTGGTGCATGTGGCAGCATGCGTAGGTTTTCAAACAAACGTTGCCTGTGAATTTACAGTCAATAATTATGTTTCTATGGCACACAGTCAAAGCTAATTGGTTTAAAATAAAAAGGATGACAATCCAATCGTTGAGGGAAGGTTAGCATTAAGGTCATCAGCTTTAACAGGATCAAACTGGTCTGGGTATTGTTAGCACTTCAGACTTCCTTTTCATTATTTTCTGAAACATTTCAAAAGCACTTCCAAACTCTATTATACAAAGAAACAACATTTTATAACAGAATTGTGAATGACTGTCATCCCTACAATCATTCCTCTGTATCTGCAAAATCACAAATCGCAAGTTTGCCTTTTTGCACCAAAAAAAGTTACCAACCATTTAAAATCCGCAAACAAAACTCACCTACCTACGATCACTGTCAACTTTTGCAGCAATCCCGCTCCCTGACCTGTTCTAGTTCTTCCCCTCAACAAGCAAGGGCGCTGGTGCTTGGGAGGATAAACAGGTTGAGGATAGCCACCAAATGGAGGTAGAGGAGGATCCATTTTGGGAGGGGAAAGAGTGGCTGGGAGGGAGGCACGTCTGCACCACCTTCCCCCTCCCACATCCAGTAATCACCCTGAACACCACCCGGCCCTGATATACAAAACTTCTCACTTTTATCGTTAAGTTAAAATACGCTACAATTTTAATCTGTTAATATTAACTTTTATTTCAGAAGTTTTAGTGTTTATCATTTTAACCCAAAAAATAATTTTGGGATCTGGGAACCTAACTTCATCTTTACCAGAAGTTATTATGCTCCGCAGTCATTAACTCATCATTCGCAAGAGGTTTTCAGGAACAGAAACCTCATAAACACAGAGAAATGACTGGATATCACAAAAGGTGAGCCGGCTGCATTTTTAAGGAACATTTAACTATTCTCATTTTGTGCAATGCACAGCAGTCTAAGCTGAAACAGTTGATATCGCTCCCATTGAGTTCAGTCATGGGTATAATTCACCAGGTACAGCTCACCATACTAACATTACTCCCTTTTTAATCTGCAGTTCTAAGGTGAAAAGCTTAAAAGCTAAACAGGTTGGGACTCTATTCACTGAAATTTAGAAGACTGAGAGGTGGTTCTCATTGAAACATATAGGATTGTTAAGGGTTTTGATAGAGTGAATGCTGAGAGGATGTTTCCCCTCATGGGAGAGTCTAGGAGCAGAGGGTGTCATCTCATTAATAAAGGAGCACCAATTTATGACCAGGAGGAGGAGAAATTTCTTCTCTCAGAGGATTGAGTATTTTAGGAACTCCGTCACAAAGAGCTGTGGGGGCAGAGTCCTTGTGTATATTTAGGCCAAGACAGATTCTTGATCAGTAGGGGAAATCAATGTAAGGTTATAGGGAAAAATGCAGGAAAAGTGATTTAAAGAATCACATCAGCCAGGATTATACTAAATGGTTGAGCAGGTCTGAGGGGCCGAATGACCTATTGCTGTTCCTATTTATTATGGTCTTACATAGGGACCTCCAATTTTCTAAAAAAATAGAAAATCCACAAAAGCATCGACTTTCAGCTGGATGAGTGATTACCATGGCGAGCTTGAACAAGATAATAACAATGAGAACATCTTATGCCTAAGCTCAGCTTTAGCACAAAAACTTGCACCTCACAAAACTTCCAATTTCACCTCTAACATCAGGTCTTTCTGTTCCTGCCTCAGCTCAAAACCTGCAAGCATCCTTCTCCACGTTTCTGGCAGCAGCAACAGTCTCCACCATCCAATCTTCTCCTCTCCAGCCCCTCTTCCTCCATAAACTTCCAGATCATTCAAAAATTCTGCTACCCAAATCCTATTCCACACCTAGCTCCACACTACACAAGTCCTGTTTTCATTCTGCACGTTAGGGATTTTGATGGACAGAGTCAATTTATAACTTCCATTCGAGTGATTAAATCATAACATGGTGAGACTTACCCCATTTCTGTAACCCTGGATCTACAATTCGCTTGTCAGAAGGTAGTGCCTTAGCACTACATTCTTTCCACTCCCATGCCTCCCCAAAAATAATCTAGCAAGTCTACTCGACATTTATATTTATAATCAATAAGCATTGGATTGGATTCCTTAAAGTAATTACCATGCACTAGCTAATGAAATGCAACTTGCTGAATGTTCGCAATGCACTGATCAACACAGAACTTGCATCATACTGGATCAATTCATTAAACCTAATCAGAGAATATACAACGGTTTTACCACTCACACAGCAGATTTTACAAACTGTTGCTCATATACAAATATTTGTCACTTTCTTATCAAGCACAAGGCAGGTCTGAAACAAACTACAGTTTATTGAGAAAATAATAAATTAAATAGAAATGCCTAACTTGACAGCACCATTTAATATCAATAACAGAAATTACATACTTTATCTTTTCCAGGTATTCATTGGTGTTCTGATTTGTCATATTGGAAGGACTAATGTGCAGCTTGAAGTCTGGTCCAAAGTACTCAAAATAATCGTTGTATGGCAGTTCTGAAAAGCAACAAAAAATCCATTTACAATTATCCCTTCTCATATGACAGAAGTGGATTCTCAGCACAGATTATACAGCCTTGAACTTTTGCACAATAGTCAAACTGGGATGCTGTGTTCTGCAAAACCCATTACATTCATTATATGAATAAGTAATTAATGACACAAACCGGGCACCAACAGACACCCAACATGGATACGTTGGTATCCAACATATGCTAGCCTCTAAGAACTCTCATGGGACATGCCAATCCTTTTACATAACATTTCTGCACTTCAAAGCTGTACCAGCAACTGTCATTGTAATCCTGCAGCAAGGATCCTACGTTCAGGGACGGGGCCAGGCTGAAACTCTGGGCCCTTTGTTGGCTCTCATAGCGCTCACTCGCTCAGAACTACTGATTACTTACACTGATTTGCCTTTGAGCTTTGCTCCCTCAGCCACAGATACCAGATTCATTATTGCTGCCTTTCCGTTCGCAAATGCCTATTTTAGAATTGAGCCTGCCCCCAGCAGTGTATTCATTCAGTGTTGCTATCTCTTGCTTCTCAACTAAAGTGTATGCCTGATTGATTTCTGGCTGACAATACAGTTGAGGTTTAGTGCAGAATTTGGATTGCTTGCAGACAGTGAGGCTGTGTTTTGGGAGCTCTGGCATCAATGGCATGCAGTATTTTGGTCTCTCATGTCTAACCTCATTTACTATGTTCATCTGACACCCATCACGCCGCCCCTCCGCCTCAGACCGGAAGCAGAAGCTAATATAGAACTTCAGGGAAAATAAAAAGCAAAATACTTCAGATGTTGGAAAGCTGAAACAAACAAAAGAAAATTCTGGAGAAACTCAACAGCTGTGACATTGGTGAGAGCATTAGTTAACATTTTGATTCCTTTTACTTTTCTCAAAACAGAAATAGTTTTAAATAATTATTAGATTTAAAACATTAACTATAGACCTTCATGGCCCCTGACATCCATCACATGCTTCTTTCCAACTTTATGGAGCCTTACAAGCAGTAAATTCACTTACCATTTGGAATCTCCGAGTCCAAAGCTACAGAAGTCTCATATGTCCAGCATCGAGCTACATTACGAATTGTGTATCCTCCACCTCCCAACATCAGTAAAGGCAGATTAAAGGTCTTCACAAATTCAACACATTTAGCATGGCCTGTGAATAAATCAAAAAATCTTCTATAAAACACTGACACTAATATCGATTAGTGATTGATTAACATTTGATTAGAACATTAATCCTCAGATTTAATGTTGTGGATGTCTTAATGTATATGATCTATTATCCTTAAGAAAATTATCCCAATCTTGGGAGGAGTAAAATACGAGGGAAGTGAAAACATATATACAACTATAGTGAATACTTATGAGCAAATATTGCTCAGCTTCATGGGGACTGCCATTTAAGAACTCCCATCTTCAGCTGTTCTGACAATATACATTAGAGACTTCTTGCATGCAATCGTAGCAGCTTTAATGTCAATGGAAATTAGCACTTCAGATCCACTTAAAGGGAGTGACATTGGTGGTTATACAGTAGAACAAAGGACCATCCCAGCACATCCATCCATACCAGGAAGATTAACACCAGTTGCAATTAGCCACAATAGCTGATATTCACTGTCAAAAGTATTCTAGTTACGGAAGGCACCAACGCATGGCACATTGTTCAACATTACCCCAATATGACTTACTGCCTTCAGAGGCAAACACTCTGACTTGGCCCCCCACAGCCTTCTGAAACAATGATTTCCATAGATTCACCAACCTCTGGCTGAAGCAATTTCCCCTCATCCCAGTTATAAAGGGCCACCCCTTCATTCTGAGGTTGTACACTCAAGTCCTAGTCTCTCCCACTAGTCGAAACATCTCTCTCATGCATACTCTATCCAGGGCTTTCAGTATTGTAATAATTAAGCATCTTAAGGACAGTGAAGAAAATATGCAAGAAGAGTTAAAATAACTGACAGGATCAATTAATAAATACAAAATGAGTGAACATTAATCAAATATCACTTTAGTAAGCTTATCCATCAGGCAAATATTAAATTAAAACTGAATTACTGTACCTTTAATAGTGAGGTTAAAACAGCCAAGTCTATCCCCAGACAAAGAATCAGCACCACACTGCAACGCAATGGCACTGGGCTGATACATTTCCATCACCTTACATATAATCTAGTAAAAAGAGAAAGGTTTTACCATACTGTACCGAGTCCCTGTACAACATGCTCTGTAACATGCCAAGAAATGGTTCAAGCCAAGTGAAAACAACATTTTAAGGCCAAAAGAAACTTGAAGTTACTTTCACATACTTCATACAGTTTGAAGGATCATGAAGTGGCCTTGGAAATCCGAGATAAGTATGACACAAATACGTTTACTCTACTAGACATCAGCTTTGGAAGAACTGCACTTAGAGGAACTACTTACAGGTTTGAATATGGCTTCATAAGATTCATCATCAATTCCATCTCTCAATGGGAAATTTACAGCATAGTATTTGCCTTTGCCTGCACCTATATCCTGTGCAACAGAAAAGGCTCAAATCAGCTTCCTAGAAATCAAATATATAAGCAAATATACAATTCTAACTTACATGAAAATGCAATAATACTTAACTGCAGCCAAATCAATGCTTTGCACAAATTTATTACTTTTTCACTTTGATACTATTGATTGCTATGTATTAAACCAAAATGCTTTACAGAACCAAAACATAGGAGCAAGCCATTTGACCCTTCAAGCCTACTCCATCATTCAATATGATCAAAGCTGACAATTAAACTCAGTACCCTGTTCCTGCTTTATCCTATATCTATTGATCCCTTTCTTCAAAGTCTTCAATGTTTCGGTCTCAACAGTTTCTTGTGGAGGAGAATTCTACAGGTTCATCATTCTTTGGCAGGGAAAATTCTTAAGTCTTAACTGACTTACCCTTTATCCTCAGGCTGTGACCCCTAGCTCTAGATTCTCCAAAAAAATCATTTCTGCATCAATCCTATTTCCAGTGAATATAGTCCTAAACAACTCAATTTTTCCCAGTATATCAGATCCGCCATCCCAGGAATCGGTTTGCTAAACCTTCTTATCACTCCTTCCATAGCCACAACATCCCTCCTATCAGAAGACCAAAACTGCACACAATGTTCCAGGTCTTACCAATGCCTAATATAGTTGCAGAAAGCCATTCTTGTTCCTGTACTTGAATCCTCTCACTATGAAGGCCAACATGCCACTTGCCTTCTTCACCATCTGCTGTACATGCAATACTTCCTTTCAGCAACTGGTGTACAAAGATAGAGGTCACACTGCACCTCCCCCTTTCCTGACCTATCCCTATTTAGATTATCTGCCTACCTATTTTTGTTACCAAAGTGGATAGCCTCACATTTATTCACATTATACTAGATTCGCCATGTATTTGCTCACTTACTTAACTTGTTCAAATCACACTGAAGCTTCTCTGCATCCTCCTCACAGCTCACCCTCCCACTGAGCTTTGTGTCATCTGCAAATTTAGACGTAGGACATGAAGTTTTCTTATCTAAATCATTTTTAAAAAAATTATATACATTGTGAATAGCTGCAGTCCAAATGCTGATTCCAGCAATGCCCACTAGTCACTGCCTGCTACTATTTATTCTTACTGTTTCCTGACTATCAACCAGTTCTCAATCTATTTCAGTACATGACCTCCAATCCCACATGCTTTAGTTTTGCATGCTAATCTCGTGAGTCCTTAATGAAAGCCTTCTGAAAAATCCAAGTAAACTTCCATGGCTGCCCCTTATCCACTCTTGAGTTGCATCCTCAAAAAATTTCAGCAGATTTGCCCCTTCGTAAATCCATACTGACTCTATCTGATCTTGTTACTATCTTCCAAATGCTCTGCAACTACATCTTACATTTTCAATTCTTGCATTTCTCCCACTACCAACTTTGAGCTAACTGGTCTATACCTTGTTTTCTCTCTCACTTCCTTAATTAGTGGAGTTACATTAGCTATCCTCCAATCTGTAGACGCTGCTCCAAAGTCCATAAAAGTTTGGAAGATGACCACTAGCATACTTTCTCTCGTGCTAGGGTTACACAATTTTCCCCATCTTAAATCAGTCTGTCTCCCTTTGCTGGACCCTAAACTGTTCCCAAATCCTTAAGTATTTTTGTTTTAATGGGCTAATTAGTATGCTGCTTCCTTGGATTTTACATAACCCTAATTTCCCTTGTTAGCCAGAGTCTGACTAGGTTTCCTGATTTCTTTTTGCACTAGATTGGAATGAGGTTGTTGACTTGCTCACCGAGCTGGCTTGTTCTCGTTCAGACATTCCGTCACCACGTTAGGTGATATCATCAGTGGAGCCTCCGATGAAGCGATGTTATTCTACTCCACTTGGAATTTATACTGCCTAGTCCATTATGGTAAGTAGTGTCATTTCTGGTTTTGATCTGTATGGGTTTGTACATAGGGTCCAATTCTATATGTTTGTTGATTGCATTACGGGTGGAGAACCATGCCTCTAGAAATTCCCGTGCATGTCTATGTTTGGCTTGCGCTAACCAAAGCAGTTCGTCCATGTGCTCTTTAAATGTTTGCTATTGCCTATCCACTGTCAAACCTTTAAGCAACGATTCCTAATTTATCATAGCCAGCTCTCACCTCATACCATCATAATTTCTTTTATTTAAATTCAGGATCCTCATCTCAAACGTCACCCTGCACCTCAATGAAGATTTCTGTCCTATTGTGGGCACTCTTCCTTAAGGGCCCATGCACAAGTCAGGACTGTCAATTATTTTTTCCTTGTTACAAAATACCCACACTCAAGGTTGGCCTTTTCTCTAGATGGGTCAACTTATTGAACCATGAAACCAAGTTTGTATACATAAAGAATTCCTCCTCTATGGTAATGGTACTGATTTGATTTGCTCAATCCAGATGCAGACTGAAGTCACCCATAATCACAGCCACACTTTTATTACTTAAATTTCTAATTTCTTTTTAAATCAACAGTGCTACCCAGTCTCTATAATTCCCATTATACCATACCCATTTTAAATCTATTTGCACAACTAATTCATTCTTTTTATATGAATGCTCTGCACCTTAAGGCACAGGGCCTTAAGGCTGGTTGTTTTAGCATTTTTAGTCTCTTTCAGTGTGGCCCTGCTTGATACTAGCTCTTGAATTCTCTGACTCTCACTTTTCTTGTATCCAGTTCTGCCTTCTGTTTTAGTCCCTATTTCCCTGTCATTTGTCTCCATGTATAGGTTCTCAAACCCTGGCTATTTTAGTTAAAACCTTTTGAACCTGTACTCGCAAATACATCTCCCAGGGCATCACCTCTGGCCATGCCTGTTTTGACGTACTGATGGTTTTATTTGTCTCCACGAGAACTATCAGTATGTAAACTGTGTATTAAACCATTATACTCCTGCATAATGAATCTGGGGAGAACTCCCCACTGGCCAGAGTCATACCTGGCACTTTGAGATGATGGTTGGTCATCTTAGCTCCAGGACATTTCTGTAGGAGATCCTTGATGTAGTGTCCTAGGCCCAACCATCTTCAGTTGCTTCGTCAATGGCCTTCCCTCCATTGTAAGGTCAGAAGTGGGCATGTTTGCTGATAATTGTACAATGTTCAGTGCCATTTGTGACTCCTCAGATATTGAAGCAGTCTACGTTCGAATGCAGTAAGACCTGGACAATATCCAGATTGGGGCTGCCATGTAGCAAGTAACATTCATGCCTCATAAGCCTGTTCATCATTCACAAGTGTGATGGAATGCTCCCCACTTTCTTGGATGAATGCAGCTCCAACAACACTCAAGAAACTTAACAGCACCCAGGACAAAGCAGCCCACTTGATTGGCACATTAACAAAATCCACTTCCTTCATCACCAACGCTCAGTAGCAGCAATGTATACTATCAACAAGATGCACTGTGGAAATTCACCAAAGATCCTCAAGCAGCACCTTCCAAACCCACAACCATTTCCAATTGGTAGGACAAGGACAGCAGATACATGGGAACACCACCACCATGGATTGTCCTGACTTGGAAATATAATCCTGGAATCTCCTCCCCAATGGCATTGTGGATTTACCTTGGCCAAATGGACTGCAGCCGTTCAGGGCAGCAGCTCACCACCACCTTTTCAAGGGTATTAGGAACAGACAACAAATGCTGGCCCATCCAGCGACACCCACGCACCCCAGATGAATAAAAATTTTTGATACTTCTCTATTAAATATACATACTTCCAAATTTCTCAATTAGATTTTGCAAAAAATACTGCCTCTTACCCGGAGATCTCCTGTGCCAGGGAAATATTCACCATATTTATGGAACGAAACAGTCATCACTCTGTCTGTTGTGTAAAAAGCTTCTTCAACACCATCACCATGGTGAATATCAATATCAATGTACAGTACTCTCTGATGATACCTTAAAGGAAGAAAAGCTCAATTGATCTGATGTGAAACACAACAGGTTAAAACTTAACAGGAATATTAAAACTGAAATTTTGATGACTCTGTTGGTAATTAAACTGTAGCGATTACAAAGTCTTAAGGTTTATTCTCACTGTTCTTGGGATGGGGACAGAAACCAAAGTTACCTTCACTAATTGCAATTCAGGTGAGAGATGAGAGTGGACAGTGAAGGGTGGAGATAAAGAAGAGAGTGTATGTGGTGGGAGTGTGGACAAAAAGAGCGGTAGATACAAAACGAAGGGATGAAAGTGAAAGAGAATGAAAGGGGGAGGGTGAAGAGAGAAAGCACGGGTGGGGGAGGGGGAAAGGCAGAGAGTAAATGGATGTTAAGGAGAGGGAAGGGAAAAAGCCCCCCATTTGATGTGAAAATCTATATTCTAAAAGAGCTCATACAGTTAGAATAATAAACTTTTATGCTTACTTCAGTAATTCGAGAATGGCCAAGACAATATCATTCACGTAACAAAAGCCTGATGCTTCCGATTTCTTTGCATGGTGAAGTCCACCGGCCCAGTTGACAGCAATGTCGGTTTGCTGCTTGTTCAATTTAACAGCTCCAGCTGTAGAAAGTAGCAATCTGCATTCATCCACACTACATTTCTTACATTTAGAGTATAGCAGTAAGCAATTTGTTTTTCTTAATTTTAATGCAATCTACAGCTATAGAGAAGGATGCTTCTGATTGAAAACAAAAGCCTGCATACCTCCTGAACATGTCAATCGAATTAAAAAGATTTCAAGGACACTTTTGGCACATTAGAAGAGCTTGACTGTGACAATTCTCTAAGTTGGATTACTTCACTAATATGTACACCAGAGTTGGAACAAGCACAAAAATGATAAGCAAGAAATTCCAAGGTTCAATAAACCTTTAACATCAAGTTATACTGGATCAACTGGCTTATTGGTTCAGATTATAAAGTTAGCTTTAACAGGAAGTGAAGAGAAAGGGATGGAGAAGGGTGCATAGGTGGGATGCTGAATCATTGGCTTTGGTTCCTTTTGATTACAGACTGACCTCATCTGGAAGTGTGTCACATTTGGTGGGATGAGGACTGTTCATTAAAACTGATCTCAGTCTGCATATCTTGCAAACAATCTCAAACGTGACTCACACACAAAGAATGCCCCTTGGCAGCTGTGACCGACACACCAACAAGGTGACAAGGCCTTCGAGAAAGGACTGGAAAAGCATTAGCAATGGAAGAAAACACATTCAATTCCCTGACAACAAGGTGCAGAGCTGGAAGAACACAGCAGGCCAAGCAGCATCATAGGAGCAGAAAGGCTGACGTTTTGGGCC